AATTTATTTATTCATTTTTCTTTCTTTCATATAACGTAAAATAGATTTTCTATGGATTGCTTTTGATTATTGAATAATAATAAATGCATGATCGTTTCTATATTCGATTTATTATATAGAATTATTAAAAAATGTGAGATTCAATTCTTGACGTTCGTGATGGATCGATTTGTGATTGAAAAAAATTGAAGAAGAAGAAGGTATGTGGATGATCGCAGCTGCGGAAAATTCTGCGATACTTTTGAATACATTTGAATATCGATCGTCAGGCCATAATTTTATGCATTAATACTTTATTACTTGCTGGAAACGAAAATTTTCAGCCGATGCAAAAAGGGAGTAGTGGAGGTAGTAGACGTGTGTCTCTTACGATTTTCCCACATACCGTGATGAATATTTCAGCACCGAAATAGACGAATCTCTTTAGCTTTGTCGTTTTCAGAGAACGCACACCTCTCTCTCTCTCTCTCACTTCCTCTTGTATTCTCGTCCAGCACTGGAAACCGAAAGATAGAGAGAGGAGACACATGATCTCAAGAGCCGCGAAGACCGAAATAATCACCATCATCTTCGCAGCATTTTTCATTCTCCGGTACGGAAATACGTCCCCGTGTGTATATATGTATTAATAAGTGCTTTTAATTGCCCTCACAAAACCTAAACGCTTAAGTGACTTAAGTGCATCTAATCATCATTCTCACGCTCGGACGTCGAGGTGTTGCAATACTATCGATAATTATGTATTATGTATTTTGTGTGTGTGTATGTCTCTGAATTTTATCAGGCCCCAAATATTTGACTATTCACCGTGCGCGTGTTTAGTTTTTTTTTTCGCTTCTTATTTGATGAACGTTTTCGAGGTCGTTGCCGGACGGAACGCAAATAAACTTGACTTAACTTCAAAAATGTTTAATTAATCCAAAGATAACTATCTGTTATTGTTGTTGTCCGATGTTGTTCATCTAAGTAGGCTTGGTTGTTGTTGTTGTTGTTGCTGCTGCTGTTTTGTTTTAATTTGTTTACCTTAGTGGTATGTGCGAAGGTATCCTGATCGAGTCTGATCTCTTCTTGAACATTTTCGATAGATTTTACGCGGGTCGACGAAAGAGTGTTCTTGTGAGAGCGAAGCAGTGGACGACCGCAAAAGCACACTTTGGAATACTGAATCCACTTTTGTTTATGTTTAATCATCGTCGTTTAGCAACAAAAAACAAAAGTTATATGTATGTACGTGTACAAATGAAGCTGATGGAGGAGGTCGTGTGTGCGCGTCGGACGGAGACGGGACGGTCAAAGGTTAACGAAATCGAGTCCAGTTCGCGGATTAAAGCGATCCGATCGGATTGCGCAAGGTTCGATCGGAGCGAAACTTCGTGTCCGAAGGTGCGCTTTCGATGCCGGAAAACTCATGGGGTAACCATGGGGACTAAGTGCCATGGTAACGCTATTAATAACGTGGCTACCCGTGGTCTTTGTTGGCTAAGCAAATTTGCATTGTTTCACGTGCGCAGATGGATGATCGTGACAAAACGTTGACTGGAAGTTTTTGTTATTGTTTTTTTTTCTCTTGTTCTTCTCTTTCTGAAGTTTCGTTTACTAACCTTGAGTGTAACCGGTGTATTTTGGATTATTCAGGTGTGCGCAATAACACCAATTTCCAGAACCGATCTGTCCTATAGAATATGGTGCGAAAGTTGAGAATGCATCAACCATTGTGTATATTTCATACATCTTCTCTGCAAGTAACTTAACTTGAAAATATGCACCCTTTGTTAGTAGTTATACAAGGATATCGTAAAAGTACCGTTTGCCATTTTCAAATATTTCAATTGTGTTCAGTTTTTTTTTCTAAACTAGATTATCCATACAAAATTATACTCGTCATCTCACTTGTACAACTATACTTTCAGAATTTTCATGAACTGCTTTTCTTTGTATCATCTTTATTTTGTTCTTTTTCTTTATCGGAATATGGCATATTACATGAAAGGAGTTTATTATGTGTTAGATGGATCTCTCCATCTTATTTCGGGGTCACCAAGTTCGCGCGCCGATAATCCTAATAATGGTAGAAGATAGTAATTATCGGCGTGATTAAGACCTTTGTTTGCGCACACTCTAGTTCGCTTTCATTCGTTTACACTCAAGACCTTCCTCCATCGCAAACTGATCTCCAATACAATTTCTATTTACATATATTTCGACGAATCGAATTCGAAAGGTCAGCGATGCAAATTGAAATTTTTGCGAGCACATTCTTTTACGCAAATTGAACTCGATTTCAGTAGTCTTCCACACAGCGCATTTTATCATTTGCATGTGTAGTCGTTCAATTTTTGTTTTCTTCTTGTTTCTTGCGTTCAATTAAAGTCGTCCGCAGACGGATCAAGGTCTCGTGGACTTAATGTAAACAGAAAAAAAAATAATAATAATGATCTCGTTCGTATTTCCCAGATTTTATTAAATGAATATATAAAAATCTGGCGTTGTTTCCGGGCTTCTCGGGTTGTTTAATTTCCTGAACGATTTTAATCTGAAAACCGGTCTCCCTCTGTCTCTCTCTCTCTCTTCTTTCAATTCTCAACTCTCTGTTGGTGGAAATTTACGTCGAATTATATAAATATTAAAATCGCGGCAGGCTTAATTTCGTCGGAAAATCGAATCTGCGCGCCATCTATATGCTAATCGATTCCGTCTAATATCGTTCGTACCAACGTCCAGCATAACACTTTTTTAATTGCTTTTTCCATTTTGGCATCCTTCATTTATTCATCAACGTTTTACGGATAAACGATACGAAATTACACGCGAACTTCCCTCAAATGGAGAATTTAATCCGCATTGAATAAGTTTTACTAATTGAATATAGACAGTTTAAGAAAATTGTGTAAGTTCTATAACACTAAAAAACAATGATCAATATGCAAAGAAAGAACACAAAAGGTTAAATTTATGTTCGAAATCACTTATTGAAGCGTTTATAATTAGTTCTGCGATAAATTAATGCGTGTTAAACATGTATTGTTTTCACGTTGATCAGACTCACTATTATCTATACGCTAATTAGGTTAAGGTTTTTATCATCGGCTATTGTAACTAAACATTGCGATCGTTCAATTCCGAGCGATACGAAATTTAATTAAAACAAGCGCTGTAAGTTTTTCCTTATTTTTACATTTTCTCTCTCATTATTTGTTCGTTCGCAGACAATTCCATTGTTCGGAATCCCTTTGATCCGAATCTACGTGGGCGTTAATGATAATTTCTGATGAATTTTCGGTCTAAAATTGAATGGAAATAATTCTAAAATTAATTCTAATTAACATCGTTAATTAGAATCAATTATTATATTGTTTGTAGATTTACTTGAAAAAAAAATGATGTTTACTTTAATAACTAATTGAGGAAGCAGAGTTTGCTGTTTATTTACCGTTCGCTTGGTTTATAGCAGATGATATTGTTTGGGGATTTTAAATGTATAAAAATAAGTAGCGTTTAAGTAGGAGCGGGATTATTAATACAGTTTTAACTACACGTTTCTTTATAGAGATTAGATCGTTGTTTATATAATGGTAGGAATGCGCACACACACTCACTCATACACAAAGAGCACTAGTTTCTTGGAAGACAACGTAAGCGAAACAAAAGGCTAAACGTCAAACACAGCTGATCGTTGCTAGCCAGGTGTAGGTTTATTATTATTTTTTGTTGTTGTTGTTTCCGTGCGGCAGGTGAAGCGGAAATTGTTGGGATCGTAACGGTCGGACCTGTCTGGTCGGGCAGGAAGTTTATCTGTTCTACACTTAATGCTCATTGAATTTCGTTTGTTGCAATTGATGATCTGATATCTTTTGTCTCTCTATGTCTGTAGAGAAACTCCGAATTGATACGGTTTATACGATTTTTCAATCATTTCTTTTGTTTTATGAATGAAAGAAGATGAGGTAACGAAACAAAAGTAAAAGTTCTTGGAACTAATTATGATGTGGTCGTCGCCGGATGCGCACAGTCGAGGAATTTCCAATATATCATAATCATAGTTCGAATTTATTTTTGAAATTTCATCTTTCTTCTTACCTTAGCTATAATTATTTTTCGTTTGTCCATTTCGTACCTTTCCTTTCTTCTGTTTCTTCCAAAACACAGGTAGATTTCACCGGTCAATTAGGTGTTTCCAACAAAAAAAAATCGATCTATTTTTGTTTCACAATTTCTTTGTTCGGTTTTTCAAGGAAATGCTGATTCTCACAGATTTATTGGTACACATTGGGTTTTCCTTTTTTGTTTTTATAAAAATTGGCAATGAAACAAGTGAATTCCAATAGTTGTCATGGTTTATTTTGATAATGCGGCTTCCCTTGCAATTTGCTGAGAAAATCATTGATTTTCCAAATTATTGATTCACTTTTATATTTTTATACGATTTTGAATATTCTAGTTTGCAAAACTGATTAGTTTTCATAATTTATTTTTATGTATGATTTGTAATTCAGTAGACTTAGTAACGTTGGTTCACACAAATTATTGATCCAAATTTTTCGTTTCCGAGTCCCAAACTTTACGACGTCCGAGGGGTTGTCGAGTATTATTTATGATTATTTTTGTTTTGTTAAATTCTGAATCGATTATGAAAGAAGTGTACTTGAAAAGTTGTCTAAGTTTATTACGAAAGTTGACTATTGTGACATATGAAATTTGCGCAAAGAAAAAAACTGGATTTAGATGGTGAAAACAGTGGTAATTATATAGGTAACTGTTTCTCGTAATCGTTCATTTCCGTTAGCAATTATAACCGTATTATCCGTGTTTGCAATTAAAGGGTCCTTTTCGATCCTCCTTCGTCGTTTCACATTCTTACCGTGATTTTCGCAGCAGTTTATTTTTGACCATCCGCAGCTTCGGCTCCTTGTTGCCATCTTTATTATCCTTCCCATCGTATGTCTGCACGAAACACAACATAACTGAGTCACTCATGCACGCGAATCTTTGATGAGCTGCTCCTGCTCCTCCACACTCAGCTTATTTCAATTTCGCACGAAGAAACAAAAATAAAAATTGAAACAACGAATGCTAAAACATATTGCTTGCTTGCTTGCTTTTGGCTACTACATCACAGAGAAAAACCTATTTGAATTGTTCGAAAGAAAGACTGATGTAAGTAACGCGCGACGACGTCTTGAGTGAGTTGGTGGCTCTGTGGTGTGTGTGCCCTCCAAAAGAAGTGTTCGCGACTGCGAGCGGAAACAAGAACTGGCTCCGAGAGCGTCGGAGGTTGTGTAAGTTGCCGGCATGCGGACTACTCGGGGGCTTCGAAAGCAGACCGAACGCGCCCTTCCCTTCCCTTTCCTACCATTCCCATCCAGTCCATTCCGACCCCTCCGACCGTGTCTCCATGCCAATGGATACAGCTGACTATCATCCTCTCCTTCTCGCACACCATCATCACCATAGTCTGCGCGCCTATCCATTCGCTCGTGCGACTCGCCTCCTATCCTTTGCAGCGGCGGTCGGAATCGAACCGAACCGTCGTTCGTTCGTTCAATACTCTTTCCTCGGCGACGCTCGCCTAGGTTTAAATTGCTCATCTCTATCTAGTCTAGTCTGCATATCGCATCATCAGGAGATTCCGTGCGAATGCAGACGACTCTTGCCTCTTATCCATCATCTCTTCACCGTTTTCCGCTGATCATTGCTCATTTCATTCTACCTTAATTAACCGACTCTTCAAATTCACTAGATAAAACGCACATCATCAGCTACACTTTTAACATCTAATCTCAATTGATTTATTCCAGTAAGACTCACATTTCTATAGCATTATTAAAATTCGTTGTTAATTGGTAAAAGTTCAATATGCAAATGGAATAGGTTATTTGAATTTCTCAATAAGACTTAACGAATTCAGCAATTTCTTAAAATCTTTGTTAATTAAATTCACTAATTATGTTATAAAGTATAAATATAACAAAAGATTCTCAATTATCTCTCAATTTCAACTCCAATAGGTTTTCTTGATTTTCTGAAATTTGCAATTGAGAGAAAAAATAAAATTTTGGAATTTCCATTTGGAACGAATTCAGCAATTTCTTAAAATCTTTGTTAATTAAATTCACTAATTATGTTATAAAGTATAAATATAACAAAAGATTCTCAATTATCTCTCAATTTCAACTCCAATAGGTTTTCTTGATTTTCTGAAATTTGCAATTGAGAGAAAAAATAAAATTTTAGAATTTCCATTTGGAAATGCCGATGAGAGAAATGGAGCGACGCGCTCAATTTTCTATGTCCGTGCGTTGGCGGAGGAGAGCGAGAGGCGAAGACCGCCGTGTCGCGGTCGACCTTGCCACGAAATAAGTCCATGATTATCCAAATGTGGTGAGAGAGAGGAGCGGAGAGGTTCAATTGAAATGCATGCACGTACTCGATGTAAATAACTAATCTCCTTCCTAACACCCACCCCATCCCACAGAAAACGTTCCCACAATCATTACCATTACACCGTTCAAATATTAACGAACTCTCCGCCAATTAACAACCCTCGACAACCAGAGAACTAGATGATACACACAGTTTACTCCGTTTGCATTCAGCACTGCTCCTCTCCGTAATACGCAAACATACACATAACATTTGTTTCATTGTTTTTTCTTTTCTTCTCCTAATCTGCGCTCTCGATATTCGAATTGAATGAACGGACGATCGTGGAGATGGAAAGAAGTAGTTCGAATAGTCGTTGCACGCCTAATGGACCGTGAGATCACGTAAGGAATTTCCTTCCGCCTCGCGGAATTTCACAATTCCATTGTGTTCATGGGTTATTACTCTACATTTTCTTTTTCTGTCGTCATTGAAATTTCTACTTCTGTATCCCATTCGTAATACGTGCCGATTCCTTTTAGTTTAGAATTTTGAATAACTTAAATATCTGATCTTGGTTGCTTTGAACAATGATGTAATTGGAATTAAGATTGACAGCTTTTGTTTCGAGTGCTGGTGACATTTGACATTATAATTACCAATTGACAGCTGTCAATTATGGTTTTGGTCAGTTGCAGATGCAGTACCCATTTTCCACTCATCCTGTCTCCGTGTGCGCAATTCAAATGTTGGATCGTCTAAATTAAAAGCGGACGCATCAATTTCGCGCAGCAATTTGGATGGGAACGATATGACATAAAAAGAGAGTCAACAAATTTGTTGAGCGAGAACTAGTCAAACTGAAGCGATTACGTAATTATTCCGTTTACTTTTATTACACTTTTTTTTTTTTTTTTTTTTTGATGGGAAAATTCGAAACCGATTCGAACGGAAGCAGCTGATAATTAAGATACAGTATTTTTATTTTCCATCGCGCAATTGTTATTCAAATGCGTAAACGTAAATCAGCTTGGCCTCGGATCGATTCCTTGGGGGAATTTCCCACCCAAATTCGGTAGTTAGAGAGATAGGCGAGAATTATGTACTGTCTTTAAAGCTATATTATTTGGAATTGTCCGCACGTTTCCACGATGAAGGAAGAGGAAAACAAAAACGTGGAACCTTTAACACGCGAGATTCGGTTCGGAATTGATTTTGAAACTTGTCGAGATGCGTTCCGAGTCCGATGTCTCTTGACCGTCGACGCGAGTGGAATTTTTAAAACCTTCGCTGTTTCGGTTTTAGCGCAGAGTCACAGAATCGCGCAAACTTTTGCGAATCTCATTATGATTCGTGCTCAAAGTTTAAGTTACCGGATTCGCAGAAAACCGGCCAAAAAAAAAACCGGTTCTTAAGTTTGTTAGAACTTTGGCAGCTTACGTTTCTTTAAGCCGTCGTCCACTAATTGCCTTTTTGCCATTGTTATCGTTACAGACGATAATCGCTCGGTAAACTGTAAACAGTGTAATCCCGAGATGTTTTTGTCGTTCAATAAAATGTACGCAACATTTAAAATCCGCGTTTCGCTCAATTTTCTTCGCCCACATAAAACTTCTACGTGCGTGACAGACTTCGAGTAGGTAATCAATTGTTGTCGGATTTAACAACGTTTTTCCCAACTTATAAATGGAAATATTTACGATTTTATAATGCGCGCTTACCATTTCCTCTTCGAAACTATAGTAAATAATATTAACGAATTTATTAACAACCAAAGTTTCCGTAGCAACTATTAAGTTTCCTTAGTAACAACTTAAACAATTTAAGGTTTCTGTGGGAATAATAATATTATTATTATTTCATTTGAATGAAATCGCAATAGATTGTGCATGCGGTTTTTTTTTGTGAGTGCGATATACATATAAAATCTGTTGAAATGTTGGCGAGCGAAGAGTGCGAGGTTCAGTTGGCTCGACTCTCCCAAAAACCGTGTTGAAATGTCCCGCAATGTCAGGTCATTACACCACACGGGCTTGCCTTTTCCACAATATGTATACACACACATCCATACATTCACACGCTCTGCTGAGCCACATTGCTTCGGTTGCGCGTTGAACAGAATTTTAAGAACGGCAGTCTTGGCTCTCGTTCGTCGAAGATTATAATAAACATCGCCAAACGAAAAAAAAAACACTATATATGTATGTGGTAGACAATATTTTCCAGAAGGAATTTTCCTCCACTCGCATACTCACATCATATACACACGTTTAGGAATCGATAAGAGAAGCGGGAGATGATTTCATGCAGAAGACGGAGATTATTCATGCGGGTTTTCCCTCGAACTCGCAAAAACGTTGCCAAAATAATAATTTGCAAGCGAAAAAACACGTTCAGCGAATGTCTGCTTTGACCTGTGTGCTTCTTTAATAATTCTCCTTTTTTTACATCCTTTTCAGGTCACATCGAAATCCTGTTTAGGATTTAGCGCATTAATCTGCAAGAGTTGTTAAGGTGTAGTTCATTTGGGTCACGGAAGCTCCAATCAAAAGACCCGCTCCTCAACGCTACCTCAAATCCCAATAGGTAAATCGATTTTATTTTACCTCTATTAATTCCATATCGAATATAAGCGATTCGTTGCAATTCGAGCGTAAATGTAATTATTTTTACGTTGAACAATTTCTAAAATTATAATGTAAATTTTAAATGTGTGATTGAAAAACTTGTTGTTCCAAAATTATTGGACGTTTTTATCTGTCACGAAGTAACTTATGATAATTGCCTGTTTTAATAATTATGCTACGTTTAAGTCTCTAACGAGTTTGACATGTGTCATGGAAATTAGCAATTGGCGATGCGCGGATAGACTTATTACTTTGGCACGCGTGCTTTTTGACATTTAAGTAGGTATTCTCGAAGGTTGTCGCGTCGACGCGTTTTCTTCTATGTATATTACATATAAATGAGATAAATACCGGTATTTGGGTCAAGTTTATTTACGCTCTCGACGAAACATCAAAAGTAGTAATACTAGTAGTAAAATAATAATAATAACAGCAAATTAAAATGAAACGAATCGTGGTAATTCGAAGCGCGGATAATTCACGTCGCCTAATAATTCCATTTGAAAATTTAATTAAAAAAAAAAATTGCTTTTGAAATTGTGTCCCCAATTAGTTAACGTACGACCAATTAATTAATTCGTATTTAATTTGTCTTTTTCCGTTCAATTTATAATAATTGTTCTATAAAACGACATATTTTTTTTTTATGAAGCAGACAGTTTCTGTCGATGTGCATCTGTCACTGTGACAGTTATAATTGTATTGATAGTTTAAAAGTAAGATTTTATTGCATCTTAATCTGTCACTGTGACATTGACATAAACATAATTTACCTGACGGCATCAATTGCGAGAGCCGTGCTGCAATCATCTCGAGAGTTTTACATAATAACGTCGAGACTCGGAATTGCGGGCGTGTGTTTTTTTTTATTATTATTATTAAGTAATTTGTCGCACTCGAGATGGGAAGCCAAACGGCAAGTGAAACCGGACAATTGACGTTTCCGAGTCAACGACATCTCTCCGGGAAAATGAAAATGGGTTTGCATGCTTAGCAAAAAGCAGCATTCATTCGGTTTGATCTTGATTTCCAGTCGTTTGCTGGAAACACCCAGACACACGTATCGATTGCGCGAGACATTCTCCCCCCGCACCTCGCAAAGAAGTGAAGAGAACGCAGCACCGAACATAACTTGCGCCCTTTCGACCGACGACCGTGTGTTTCCACTACGTAACCGCAGCACAAATTACTTCCCTTCGCGAAGAGCGAAAAGTGTAAAAAAAAAGAATGCGGCGGAGGGTGGAATAAAGTGTGGCGGCGGTCGCGTCTTGAATAATTCAGACATCCTGCTGAACACATCCGCAATGAAATGTTGTCTTCGCAA